TTTGTGAATAAGGGCCCTGCAATGAAGGAATGAAGGCAACACCTGTTGCAGAGAGGAAAAGTAAAAAAAAAAAGAAAGAGAGAGAGACGGTAATACCTGTTGCAGAAGGAAACACTTGTGGTAGTGAGAGGAAAAGAAGAAAGAAGGTTTCAGCTTTTGCAAAGAGAGAAAAAAAAAAAGAGAAGAGGATGGAGGATGTCAGATGCAGAGAGAGAAAAAGAGAGAAGAGGGTGCAGAAAGAGAGAAAAGAGAGAGAAGGGGAACAATGACGAAAAGAAAAGAAAGAAAAGACCAAAAGCAAATCGTGAGAAAAATAAAATGAATGAATGTGAAGTGGCCCCCCTGAAAATGATCAGCGCGAGATGACGTTGCCCACGATACATTTTTTTTTTTGTGCTAGACATTTGTTGTGTTTCCAACTTATTTAATTTACAAAGAGAGTATTAAAAGAACCCTTCCGATGAAGATTAATAAAAAAAAAACAAATAAATAAAATAATAAATAAAAAAAATATATAAATAAATAAAAAAAACTAAAGAGGCAATTGATGACGAAGAAATAATGGTGGAAAGAGTGAATCAAGCGTATCGGGAATATTCAATACACGAAGATCTTCGAGACTCCGTACTCGGCTCAGTGCAACGTATGCTTGCCCAGAACAAAACATGCTGCTCAAGTCCACCAGGGCTGCGGGTAGAGTCATTCCTTGTCCTCGATGAACTGTCAAACCGTACGCCAACAACAAAGGGAACTGGCTCCTTGATCTTCCACCCTTGCTGACCTGACGAACAATCCGCTGAACATTCACCACCCTGTTCTGAGCTCGCTCCAACTGCACCCGGATGCCGTCTCCAATTTCGACCACAACCCCGAACGTCCCATTGATGATATCTCTTGAAAGATTCGTCGTAATGATGACTCTTGCTCCTTCCCACAAGACTAGGTTAGTCAACAAACCTGTCTCTCTCTCCATCATCTTTGATCTTTCATCCCCATCTTGGCCTGGTCTGGAGCCAATATCATCCATTGCCCGGAACACTCTGATGTCTTCTTCCCGCACCAATTGCCTCGTCAGATTCTCATTGACCGATTGTACTTTGGATACCCTTGCCGATATGAACGTGTGGGGCTTACTCAGTTGGTCATCCACATCCAAATCCAGCTCCCGCGCTCGTAATATTTTCATCACAAAATCCAGCTCTTCCTGCGAATTCGGACCTCTTCTAATGATCGAAAGAAAGTGAAAGAAATGATCTTGGTCCGGCCCCTGCTGGCGACAAGGGAAAATAAAGTTGATCCTTGTGAATTGCGCAAAGACTGGTGTTTGCCACACCCATTCCTGATGCATGTCTGCATCCCCTCTCCATCCTCTCGACCCATCCTTCCCTTCCCTGATCCGCACCACTGGCCTGAGCTGTCCAAAATCTCCAAAGCAGACTACAGGGATACCTCCGAAGGGCAGATTAACCACATCTGGATCTCTACCTCTGCCAATTGCCTTCAAAGCCAAGTCCATTTGCGACAACATCGTGGCCGACACCATCGATATCTCATCCACAATAATACATGGTTGTCTTCCTCGAGCCCAAATCTGATGAATGTTCCAGCCAAGGGTAAATAAGTTTGGGATGAAGACCTCCCGATCCGGGAGCTGTGTCACTTCCGCGCCAAAGAACCGATGGATGGTCATCCCATTCACATTCACAGCAGCCACACCCGAAGGCGCGAGCACCACTGGCCCGTACAACCCAGCCCCTTGAAGTCGGATCACGAGCTTACGCAAGAGTGTGGACTTTCCTGTTCCTGCTGGGCCCGACACAAAGTACATTCCAGGGCTCATCATTATCCTCTCCAGCGCCTCTTGCTGCTCCTCATTAAGCTCTACCCCTTCGTCATCCACCTGCATTTCATCTTCGTTGCCGTTATTTGGGGCCGGTAAAAGTGGCAACACTGTCTCCAAGACATGGTTCGGAAGAACTGCTAACCCAAGTTCAAAGATGGAATTCATTTCAGAAACTTCCAACCATCTGTCGCAATCAATCCTCATTGGCAAGTGCAGCATCATTAAATGAGCGCAGGTGTCATCCAAATCCACCATCGGTGTCCTTCGATGGCGCACCACACAAAAATGGTCTCCTTCGTATGCCTTGTATTTCCTTGGAGGATTATGCCCATCCAGATATGTACAGTCACCTGAAACAAAGATTGGACAAAAAAATAAAATATTGAAATAGTTACGTAGGGAAGCGTTTCCTTCAATCTCTTTCCTTCCTGTTTTTCACATACAAACAGCTTGAGTAAACCACCATGGCGAGACACTTAGACATTGAGAATAAAGGTATCATCGTTGGAATGCACCTCGCGGGCATGAAGGCTGCGGAAATCGCATTGCAACGCGGTGTACCCCGAACCTCTGTTATTAATATTATCAGGGTGTACCAAGAAAGAGGCACCACTGCTTGCACTCCGATCCCAGGACGGCCCAAAGTACTAAGTGAACGGGACCTCAGGAGCATCGTTCGCCATACTAAGCAGAATAGAAGGTGTACTCTTAATGATATCACTAACCAATTGCCGAACAAAGTTTGCGAGAGGACAGTTGCGAAGGCATTGCATTCACTGGGTATTTTCAGCCGGATTGCAGTAAAAAAACCATTCTTAAAAGAAGGACATATAAAAAGGAGGCTGCAGTTTGTCAAAAAATATATGAGTTGGTCCATGGAAGACTGGAATCGGGTAGTTTGGACTGACGAATCATCATTTGAAGTTGGTAAGCATTTTCGTCAAATAAGAGTTTGGCGTAAAGTAGAGGAAAAGTACGATCATGATTGCCTCGCACCCACTTTCAAAAGTGGTAGAACAACTCTGATGGTCTGGGGGGCGTTCACAGCAACCAGAAAGTCTCGGTTGGTTGTATTTGAAAGAGGTCGTAAAGATGGACGGTGTTTCGTGGAAGATGTATATCAAGGCGAGCTAGCCAGATTTATGGCTGAGGTAGGGGATGGCATACTTATGGAGGATAATGCTCCAGTTCATACTTGTAAGATTGCAAAAGAATGGCGCGAAAAAAACAGCATCCCGAGGATTCCAGACTGGCCTTCATGCTCCCCAGATTTGAACCCTATTGAACATGTATGGTCACTTCTTGCGGATGCACTCGATAGGCGCGCTAAAGGGCCAAGAGATCTTCCCACTCTCACACGGGCTCTTATCGAAGAGTGGAATAATTTACCGCAAGAGAGGCTGGCCAGCCTTGTCGCTACCATGCCCGAAAGGCTGGAAGAAGTGAATGGGGTCGATGGTAGGAACACTCACTATTGAACCTACATGGCACTTTTGCTACTCTAACAATGCCGTCTTCAAAACCCCAATAAATAACAGTATTGACCTCTTTAGTGAGCATGTAAAATTTCATGTGTATTGATGAAGTCTTTATGTATGTTGCATATGAGCTGTTTGTCCAGGTTGTTCAAAAAAAAATCAAGAAAATCCATTTTGTCCAAACTTTATTTCAGGTGACTGTACATTGAGGATCAGGGGCCAGATCATCATATGGAGGTTCCCGTTGTTGCCCTGCCACTCGTCCAAACACCTGCCGGAACTTCTTGTAGAACTCTGGATAGGTCATAGTCTCAAAAAGGGTCCCTTGTGGACGGTTTAAATACTTTATCCAAGAGTCATCTTCAAAAACCTCCTCAACATCATCGTCTCGAACCGCACGGATGACTCCTTTTCGCTCCGATGGCAAATGTGTTGGGAGGTAGCGAACAGCATGGCTTTTACCAGACATGTGGTAGCTTCCTACATCCATCACCACCTCTGGCAGGGAAACACGATTGTAATAAAATTCTGCACGCCATTCAAAAATAAAAAAAAAAAAAAAAAAAAGAATGAAAAATAAAAATTAAAATAAAAAGAACAAAAAAAAATAAAATAAAATAAAATAAAAATAAAAAAAAGTTCAGTTAAGAATACAACAATTACATTGCACTAACAATAACAAGCTGTACTCCAAAAGCGCTTACTGTTTCCATCCCGGATCCTGACCATTCCATCATATTCTTGTTCTTGTCCTAACAATTTAACAGGCAATTATTCTTTTATTCTTTTTTTTTTTTTTTTTTTTTTTTTTTCCTCCTCCGCTTTTTACCTTGCTCTGTGACGACAGATCCCTCGTACGGAGTAGCTGACTCGGTAATGTACTTTGAAATATAATTTAAAGCGCGTGCTCCACGGTTCAGCTGAACATCAATGTTTGAACCACAGTACCGAAGGATATTTGCATTGTAATTGTTGATCATCCGGTCCTCTTCTTCACGTGCGTACAGAAATGTCTCTGTTGTTGGTTCAAACATTGTCCTTGGGCTTACTGGCTTTGGGAAGCCAAACCTGCACCGGACGACACCATCGCTTCCCTTCCGCATGCAATAAGCTTCTGTATGCTTATGGATCTGACAGGCATGGACAAGGCGGCGAAGGTATTCGCTCTCTGGGGTCGAGGAACAAGTGACGACAACGAGATCCTTGTCCTCTCCCGCGCACTGCTCTATCAGTGTCTCGATGCTTCTCCTTGCCCAAAGAACTGCATGTACATGTGGACATCCACGCTCCTGATACTCCACAACCCAAGCATAGGCTCTTAGCCCTCCCAACACATAGTCCGCCCACTCGCCGTGCACAAACGACCAGACTCTCCTCCACTCCCGCGAATATGTCATCACAAATGCCGGTACGTCTTCGATGGCTCCACGATAGTCACGTTCGATTTTGCTGAAGGCTGGGGAAGCCAAGTTGACGGACCATGTAATAAATACCTCTGGCGTCCCAAACTCTCGAAACATCGCCATCATATCTTGGCGGAGAGAGCTCTTGTATGAGCTCCCCATCCGGATGCTCTGAGGGATGGCAATCGTCCTCTCCCTGTCTATATGTCTTCCTGCTCGTATTGAATAAACAATAATATAAATATGACGCTGTATTAATATAGAAATACAGAACAATCAATTGAGACGATGTTTTTTTTTATTTTTTTTTTCCTTCATACCAGCGTAAACATCCTCACGACTTGTCCTTCGCCCTCCTTGCCTTGTTGAAGTTGTTGTACGGAGGCGGTAGCCGTACGCGCAATCCTTGGTAATCCAGTCGGCAATAAAGCAGATGAACCTCGCATTTCTGGCAAAATGAGGATCGAAGTGCAACATCCTGTATTTAGCGTAGGCCTTAATGCTGTAGTGTTCTTCCCCCTGTTCATCTGGCACCCGGAGAGAGACCTTGTAGTGCCATAAGGAAAAGTGGCCGTGTCCATATGGGAAAAGCTCTGGGAATAGCATGACGAGCAAATCCCTGTTCGAGAACTTTACAGCTTCATTGTCTTCATCTACATTGATCCCGACACGCAGGCCCGTCATCTCCACATCCGCTGCCCGAGGCCCAGGATCGGTACGCTGGACTACCGTCACTGGGAACTCCCTGTTTGCATGGGCTCGTACGGCTGGATCCTCCAAAAGTCGAGCTGTGGCTACTGGTTGAGGTAAACCCGAAGCATTCTGGTACACAGGGTTGTTCCCTTGTAGCCACTCTCGAGCCTCGATAGCCCACTGCAGGTTTGCGGCTTCCGCCTCTCCGCAGAGTGCAGCGCTCATCATCCCGTCCCAGTTGTATAGACGCCTTGCCGACCGGTAAATCGAGACTTGGCCATTTATCCTTGGGAAGGTTGCTGCCTTAACCTGTCGTGGCTCAAAAGGAGTGTGGGTCATCACTAAGCACACATATTCCATATCGGACCACCGTAATCGAGCAAGCACCTCGGGTGTATCCTCATCGCGCACCCACCCCTGTGCAGTGTAATGTAATAAGGGATTCCCCCAAAAGCGATTGATGAACGAAATCTATTTCATTATATTCACAATACATTTTGCAAGAAGTATATTATTAATTATTATTTTTTTTTTTTTTTTTTTTTTTTTAAAAATCACCAAAAGCTTAAATGATTGATCACACTCACGTACAAAATTCAAGGCATTGTTGTTTAGCTTTTGGTGCGCCTTGCATGCTGTAATGGCCCCATTCTTGATTGTTGGCTCCTTCCCATACTGCTGGCATGGCCAAGGGATCTCATTCAGTGGGATGGTGAGATCGGCTGACGGAATGAGCGGCGTTGTTTCCTCTGGAAAGAGGATTCTACAACAGACACAGCAAAAAAACTCTGGAAGTACCCCTGCTCTTGCGAGGCTATTCTGTAATACTCTTCTCGAAAGCAACGGCCCAGAGTCCATTTCTTCATCTTCGATAAACTCTACCGGCACCTCTTCTTCTTCTTCTTCTTCTTCTTCTTCTTCTTCTTCTTCTTCTTCTTCCAAAACCTGTTCCTCCTGTTGCTGTTCCAAAGGCCATCCATCATCCTCATCAACCACAGGGATGTCCATATATTCAGCATCATCATCACCATCTTCTTCTTCCGACTCCCTGTGGCAGATAGAGAGGTCTAAAAGCTCATACTCGTCATTAACGCCTTCTGAACTCCGCAAAGGGACATCCAATAAATGATCTTCCATCGCAACTGTTCCACCACTGACAGTTGCAGCCTCTCCATGCTCATAATCGCCTGCGTTGGAAAAGGACATTGTGTTTATAAGAGATGAGAGCAAAAAGTAGTTGAATGTAATGTGAAATGAGAGAGGAAAAGAAGCAAAGAAGGCAAAAAGAAAAAAAATTTAAAAAAAAGACCTCATTTTATTTAAGCTTTTCATTTTATTTATTTTATTTTTTATTTTTTATTTATTTCTTTATGTCTTTATTTTATTTTTTATTTATTTTATTTTTTTTATTTTTTTTCTTCATTTCCACCTTCGTCCTCGTCTTGATCCCCGTCCTGATCCCCGTACTGATTCCAATCTAAGTCCAGGGCTTACGCTACTACCGATACTCGGTGCCGGCGATAGCTTATCCGTGGCCGCACTCTGTGCAGGGCTTTTCTTCACCCCAACATCTCCCCCCGGATTGCTGGGATGTCTCTTGCCATGGCCCGAACTTTGGAATCTTCTATCCAAAAGTTTTTCCTCCTACTCCTCCTCCTCCTCCTCCTCCTCCTCCTCCCTGCCTCCTCCCTGCCTCCTCTTCTCCCTCCTTCTTCTCTTCCTCTCCTCCTTGACTTCTTCCTCTTCCTTCTCCTTCTTCTCAACCTTTCCCATCTTCCTTGTCATGCTTCTCGTGGTTCTCGTGGTTCTCGTTCTTTCTGACTTGGGGATGTTTGGATGCTCTGTAACGATCTTGAATCGGCTTGGCATGGGGATGGAAATACGACTCTGCGATCGGTTGATGGGCGAGACTGAAGTCGATGGCGACGACAACAACGACAGATTGGGAGGGCTTTGTAGTAGTGATGGCTGCTTGGATGATACATTGGTGGAGGAGGAGGCGCGAGAAAAGGGAGCGCGAGAGGAGGAGGCACGAGAGGAGGAGGCACGAGAGGAGGAGGCACGAAAGGAAGAGGCATGAGAGGAAGAGGCATGAGAGGAAGAGGCATGAAAGGAAGAGGTCCCAATCACCGCTGCCACTCTCGCTACCATACCAGCCCCTGCTCCAGCGTCTACCTTGTTCTCGAAGGTCTTCACCGGAACTTCCTGCAGATCCTCATTACGGACCACCGACGTCTCGATCCTAGACATCGTCTCGACCACCAACCTGACACTGACAGCAAAGCTGTGGGTACCACTTCTCTGGTACCCGCGAGCTTCGAAGACACCGGCAACCTCGAACCACTGGAAGTTCTCGCCGCTGCGGTACAGCTGCATGAGATGAGCGTATGCAGGATGGGCCCTCATCTCTTCCAGTGTACCGTTGGGGATGACGATCTTCCCCTTGCATTGCTGCCCACGCATGGTGTACGTTGCCGACGCCCACAAATTGTCCTTCTCATCCCTTGCAGGCGAGAACACTTTCACAACCTGAAGGGGCATCTCGAAGCGAGGGAAATCCATTGTAATTAAAAATAACGAGCCGGAGACCGTGGCTTCGCCACGGCCTGCTCTTGCCTCGTAATAAAATTTAATGCTTACAACATAGTAAGTTATCTTTATCGTACAAAATAAAATACAAAAACAAAATAAAATACAAAATATAAATGCAAAATAAAATACAAAATATAAATGCAAGTAAAATACAAATAAGTGCTACAAAATAACGTCAGATTGGATAACAATGGAGATGAGCTGAAAGTTGACGTGAATGACTTGGAGATGAAGAAGCAGCAGGATGTCTGAAAACCAAGATATTGTGACTACAATGCGCCCTTGAAGACAATGTTTCTGGTGTATATCCCAGGCTTGGCTTGTACCTTCCCATTCCCGACCAGCACCTTAAGATTGTTTGGGTCAGTACACCGTGATAAAGCAACGTAGAGATGGCCATGACTGAAGGCATCTTGAGGAAGATAAACACCGACATGTTTAAGTGTCTGTCCTTGTGACTTATTGATAGTCATGGCGAAGGCTGGCTTGACTGGAAATTGGCGTCTGCAGAACATAACTGGCGAAGAGCGGTCATCAATCGTTGTAAGCGATATGCGAGGAATGAAAACACGCTCCCCTCGATATTGCCCATTGATAATCTCAGTCTGGATCATTCTTGTGCCCAACGCACGCACAATCATGCGGGTGCCATTACATAGTCCGCGCTTTGGATTCAAGTTGCGAAGAAGGATGACAGGTTGACCGACTTTCAACTCCAGTTTGAATGGAGGCAAGCCTGGTGGACTAAGCTTGTTTAGATATTCTACAGGATAATGGACCGGAGCTGTTGCTTCAGGGTCTTGTAGGCTATCTTGACCAATATAACTGACTGATTGCTGAGTACTACAGAGCATAGTGGTAGCCAATTGGTTTAGCCTGTCTACATCTTCATTGAGAGGGCTCAATATAGCGCGCTCAATGAGTATTTCAGGCCAGAGTCCAGCAGTTTCGATGTCTGGAAATATCTGCCTAATTAGTAGCTTTTCGTGACTGTGATCCTTATTTACAGCTGGGGTGTCAAGGACCAAGTTGTCAGGTATCCTGATATAGTCGCCATGAGGGCCAAAACTAACGGTCGGCTCTGTCCCTTCACCAATACGGAGTAGCCATTCGACAAACGCTTGGTTCTCAGGATGGCTGTTAACTCGCATATTCTTGCTCAGTCTGAGTGTCGTCACCGAAGGCCAAATATAAGATCTTTTCAATGAAGCATCCTCAATCTGAGCCTGTGTCCCACGGATGACAACCGGAAGTACCTGTCTGAAGTCGCCTCCAAATACAAACACTTTACCACCGAACGGAGTATCCTGTTCCATAATGTCTCGAAGCAGCCTGTCTACAGCCTCAAAACAATGCTTATGCTGCAAAGGAGCCTCATCCCAGAAGACGACATCAGCATTACGTATTCTTACGGCAGCATCTTGCCGCATACCAAGATAGCAGATGGAGCGACAGTCAACAGGGATCGGTATCTTGGACGTAGAATGGGCTGTATGGCCGTTATGGAGAATAAGAGAGGCAATTCCTGATGATGCGACAGCAATCACACTTCGCTTATGTCGGCCAGTGAGACAACCAATGAGCGTGTTGTATAAAAAGGATTTGCCTGTTCCTCCTGGGCCATCAATGAAAAAAAGTCTCTCATGAACCTCACCCTTGGCTGCCTTAATGATGTGTTCAAAGGCTATCCTCTGGTCCAAGTTCAAGTGTATCACGTTATTGAGAGCCTCTTGTTCAAATTCCCATTGCTTCTGCGTGTCATCAACTTGATCTTCCTCCTGTAGGGCATTTTCTATTCCTTGAGGCATCTCTGGAAAGTTAGCCAGGCAGGACCCAAGCTCCTTCAGCACTTCATTCAGATCGTAGAGTGCCGAGCTCTTAGCTTGTTCCTCTGCGATACCCTCCGCAGTAGCGGTTGCTTCTCCCTGGAGTCCTTTACATATATGAAGGAAGTCTTCTGACAGGTCCCTTGCAAAGCGAGTCCAAAGAGCCAGTGGGTCAGAGAGACTACAGTTGATCATCATAATACCAAACAGGTGCCGCAACATCCTCGGTAACTGATATGTGGATGCTTCTTCCAAGCAACGACTCCATTCTTCATCATCCTCGAGCAAGCCGCGAGCAAGGGCAGCTGAGTAAAACGTATCAAAGACCTTGTTGACTTCAGGCACGGTGCGGAGCTCAGCAAAACTCTTTGCTCCTTTGACATGCATAAGCAGCAGCCGAAGACAATACCTTTCGCGTTCTTTTGGCTGGACAAAATAGATTCTAGAGAGAACCTTCGTGCTATTGGTCCTGGCTCTCTCTCTCCATCTTCTACTGCGCTTGTCCCAGGTGTAGTGATAAGGCACATCAGGGTACAAATAGTATTCTGGTACCTTTATATTGCTTGCCGCTTCGGCATTGGCTGCATTTGTTGCTTCTGCCCTCGAAATTTCTTTCTCAATGGCGCTATTGAGCTTGAACCATGCCATGAGCTGCGAGTCTTGGGCACAGGAGATGACTTGCTCGAGGTTAGCATCAGGACCGAAGACCACTTGCTGCTGATCCTCCAGATGGACAGGCAGTCGAACAACATTATGGGATTGCCCATGGAGCGCAAAGCCATACATACGCCATAAGCTCTCGCAAGTAGATACATATCGGCTATCCCTGTATTTGCTGACCTCATCGAGATTAACATTTCCTCCATCCGCTGCCACGACAGCAACTGATGCTCTATCATGACCCTTGTGCACGTATTTGTGAATATACTTGACTGATGACACTGATCCACAGACTTCAACGTTAATATGAGCGTTATATTTGGTTGTGAGCCATAAATTGTGAGGAACAACCCAAGTGTTGTCGACAGTGTTGCCTTTTGAGTTTACAAAGGAGCGTGCAGGATCATTACGTCGACGATAGTTCGGGTAGCCATCCTCGCTTCTTGCAGTATTTTCCAAAAATGAGCGTGGGTACTTTTTGCTGCAGCTCCCTTCCACCATGCATGGCGCTCTAGAATTATGGACCCCACATGGCCCATGTACCATGTGGGAAGTTACTGTCTCGTACGCAAGCGGGGCACTGTGTCGATCGGGGATCTCTGCAGACACAATAGAGTCGATGTCGTCTGCAGTCCGAGGCTTGCTTCCATCGTCAAGAATTATGAGGAGATGCTGATGCGGCAAACCACGTTTCTGGAACTCGACGACCCAATTGTAAGCAATAACTTTCCCTAGGACATCTTTCTTGAAGAGGTCATCCTCTAGAGCCTTCTTTTTGAGATTAAATACTCGTACGCAAAGGTCAGGCCAATCAGCTGCTGTTTGGCCTTCATAAAGAGCCTCCTGGATCTCTGGCCACTAGGGATTACATGTGAAGGTGATGAAGAGATCTGGCTTGCCAAACTTCCGAACCATGGCAATGGTCTACTGAATGGTCTACGAAGGACGACCTATTCACATTGTCATAGGTACCATGGACGTATGTGTGTCACCTTTCTTCATTGAAAATCCGACGAGAAATAAAGAAAAATAAACTAAATAAAAAGATCCCTCTGCCCTGCAACTCTGATCTACATCTACTTCTCGAGCCAAAAAGGGGTGGTGTGGGTGGGACATACGTCCATGGTA